GGGTTCTGGCCAGGCTGCTCTGCCGTCTGTCCCTGGGACCCTGGGCATGGTGCCCGCTGTCGGGGTCAGTTTCCTCACTGCGCACACAGGCGGCAGCAGGCCTGACTGCAGGAGGCCCCAGCACCCACAGCAGCCGGCACTGCCCTTACACTGAGAACACAGCACCCAGGTCCCGCTGCTCAGGCCGGAAACTCCTGTCACACGAGCTTTTACTCATCTGGACTTCTGCTATTCCTGGGAGTGGCATCTGTGCTGAGGGGATGCTCAGCGTCTGCCGTCCCCAACCGCCTTGGCAGCCTCGGTCCTCCCAGGGGCCCTCACGGCCTGAGAAAGCCGCTGCCCAGATGTGAACCCGGCGTCCAGGACACACAGGCCACACAGCACAGTGAATGAAGGGCAGGGCAGAGTTCCAGGGTCCATGGCCGGCCAGCTGCTGACCCTGCTTCCTCACTGTCCACCAGGGGTAGTGATGCTGGCACCAGGAGGTCGGCACCGGAGAAGGTGGTACATCAGCATCTGTTCAACACAGTAATCGCACTAGAGACTGTGGTCCATACGTCAGGATGGCAGGTGGGGGCTTCAACTCCGAGCTTGGGAAAACGCAGCTTTCCACCAGTAACACGCTCCAGCCCCCACAGCACAGCAGGGCATGGCAGACACGCCAGGCTGCTAGCGGCATGTACATCCATGTACAGTAAGCACACCCTGGCACCTACACACCTTGGTGGCAGCACACGGAAATGCCCAGGCCTGTGTGTGAAGGAGCCAGCACCAGGCTGGATGAGTCAGGACAGATGCAGTCAGGACGGATGCGGTCAGGATGGATGCGGTCAGGACGGATGCGGTCAGGACAGATGCGGTCAGGACGGATGCGGTCAGGACGGATGAGTCAGGACGGATGCGGTCAGGATGGATGAGGTCAGGATGGATGAGGTCAGGATGGATGCGGTCAGGATGGATGTGGTCAGGATGGATGTGGTCAGGATGGATGTGGTCAGGATGGATGTGGTCAGGATGTGGTCAGAATGTGGTCAGGATGGATGTGGTCAGAATGTGGTCAGGATGGATGTGGTCAGGATGGATGTGGTCAGAATGTGGTCAGGATGGATGTGGTCAGGATGGATGTGGTCAGGATGGATGTGGTCAGGATGTGGTCAGGATGGATGTGGTCAGGATGAATGTGGTCAGGATGGATGTGGTCAGGATGGATGTGGTCAGGACGGATGCGGTCAGGATGGATGTGGTCAGGATGGATGTGGTCAGGATGGATGTGGTCAGGATGGATGTGGTCAGGATGTGGTCAGGATGAATGTGGTCAGGATGGATGTGGTCAGGATGGATGTGGTCAGGATGTGGTCAGGATGGATGTGGTCAGGACGGATGCGGTCAGGATGGATGTGGTCAGGATGGATGTGGTCAGGATGGATGTGGTCAGGATGTGGTCAGGATGAATGTGGTCAGGATGGATGTGGTCAGGATGGATGTGGTCAGGATGGATGTGGTCAGGATGTGGTCAGAATGTGGTCAGGATGGATGTGGTCAGGATGGATGTGGTCAGGACGGATGCAATCAGGATGGATGCAGTCAGGATGGATGCGGTCAGGATGTAGTCAGGACGGATGCGGTCAGGACGGATGCGGTCAGGATGTGGTCAGGACGGATGTGGTCAGGACGGATGCGGTCAGGACGGATGCGGTCAGGATGGATGCGGTCAGGATGTGGTCAGGACGGATGCGGTCAGGATGTGGTCAGGACGGATGTGGTCAGGATGGATGTGGTCAGGACGGATGCGGTCAGGATGGATGCGGTCAGGATGTGGTCAGGACGGATGCGGTCAGGACGGATGCAGTCAGGACGAATGCAGTCAGGATGGATGCGGTCAGGATGGATGTGGTCAGGATGGATGCGGTCAGGATGGATGCGGTCAGGACAGATGGGGTCAGGATGGATGCGGTCAGGATGGATGCGGTCAGGACAGATGGGGTCAGGATGGATGCAGAGGCCTGTTGCTGGCAGCCGGCCTCTCCCGGTCTGGCTTTGAGGCTTCTCTGACAGGGCAGCTATTTCTGTGCTCTCCTGATCTTTATCTTTATTACATGGCTGCTGAGACACTTTGCCCAAGGTAAGCCTGTCTCAGTTCAACAAGGGGAGTTTCTGCAGAACACATTTGGTTATGCGTTTAATCACAGGTGCTGGGATAGCTACAAACACTGTAAAATTCAACATCCAGTGAAATATTTGGAGAACCCCTATGGCAACTTGGAAAACCCTGGGATTCTGAGGGACAGGGAACAGCTCACAGTGCCGGTAAAATCCAGAACTTTCTAGAAGGAGCTAAGCGCAGGATGACTGCCTGCTTGCCTGGGCCGTCTCAGCCAGAAAACCCTGTTCCTGGAAGATGGAAAACTGGTTCCTTGATGCAGCAGAAAACACCGATTCTACCCCGAATGTACTTACTCACAAGAGAGAAAAACCTGCATATGTCAAAGAGAAATGTTCGACGCTGGACACCAGCCTTTAAATATCCGCTTGACCCAGTGGCTTAAAAGCAGTTCCTTCTGAACTGAACAGAGAATCCCTGCGGAGATCAAAGGAGCCTCTGCTCGTCTGAAAGGGGCTGAGCTGGTTTTATGAAGCTGTGCTCAGGAGGCAAGGCCGTGGGGACTTCCCGCTGTATCTCAGGCTCCCCTGCCGAAGGCCTATTAGCGCCTCGTGGCTTCGGCTTTGCTTTGTCTCTATTTCCTCGTGTGCTAAGTGACACATCAACGTTTAGAATGACTGTTTAATACTGTGGAGGGAAAAGCTACCTTTTAAAATAATTACAGGCTGGGAGTGTAATTACGCCTGTAATCCAGCACTTTGGGAGGCTGAGGCAGGTGGATCACCTGAGGTCAGGAGTTCGAGAAACAGCCTGGCCAACATGGTGAAACCCCGTCTCTACTAAAAATATTTTAAAAATTAGCCAGGTGTGGTGGTGGGTGCCTGTAGTCCCAGCTACTCAGGAGGCTAAGGCGGGAGAACTGCCTGAACCCAGGAGACAGAGGTTGCAGTGAGCCGACATGGTGCCACTGCACCCCAGTCTGGGTGACAGAGTGAGACTCTGTCTCAAAATAAAATAACGTAATTGCTTTAAAGAGAGAGAGACGGAGTGGACGCTGACATTGCAGTCTCACAGAAAACCTCATAGTGAATAGTGCGTCTCTGCTTTGCACCAGGAGGTAGCCTGTGTTATCGCACGAAATATCAAAGTGAGCACTGCTGCAGCACAGCGACACTTCCGAACTTCCCGCCGTGTGTGGGACAAAGCTGTGCAAGGGAGCGATGGAGGGAAATGGAGACACGCCCACAGCCTGCAACCACGCTTGGGCAACGTCCGGGCCAGCAGCCCCGGAGCCCTGTGGAAGGCTGACTGCCCACGCACCCTGCTGGCTGTGTCTCTGCCCGGCACTCTCCCCTCCCTTCCAGGCTCATTTGAGAGTTGCAGAGTTTGGGCTTCATTGCTGTCAACAGCGTGGGCTTATGAAACACGTTTCCGTGTGTCCACTGACGTCCCCATGATCCCAGGACCGTTCCCTTTCAAACCAGTTCTGGGCTGCAGGGACTGGGGTGGATGAAAAGGAGGTGGAATCGCCAGCTGCCCCTGGCCAGGGGGTCCAGAGGTTTTGAGTGTAAATTGACTTTACTCAGAAGTCTGCTCTGTAGGCTGCACAGGCAGGCGCCACGCAGCTGTGGGGTGAAGGGTCTCAGCCTGTGGACGGGGCCAACCACATCCCTGAGTGAGACGCAGGCCGAGTTTGTGTCTGATGAGGTTCTGAGTGTTGCCCCAGGCCTCTGCTGGCAGGCTGAGTTAGTTGAGAACATTGAAGAAGAAACTCCAGCCTGACCACCAGCTGCAGGGCTGCTGGGCCCCACAGGGTCGTGGGGTGTCCCTTATGCTGTGCTGAAGTGCAGGATCCAAGAAGTTAAGAGACAGGACACTGAAGAACTGGTGAAGAGCAGCTGGACTTGGGGGGCCACGCCACCTATGAGCGGAGACAGGTGAGGCCCCGAACATGCAGAAGCATCTGCATTTATTAGATACAGGCAGGGGGAAGGGTCGTAAGTGAGGTCATCATCTATAGGCTTAGTAATAGGGCATACATAATCACGTGAGTCACAAGAGAGGGGGCTACCCCATTATGTCACCTGTGCAGAGAGGTGGGCCGTGCCATGCACAGCAGTAGAGGGTCATGTACAGAAAAGGGGTCCACCCCCATTAGGTCACTGAGGCAAGGAGGTTCTTATCTGGGTGCAGGAGACTTAAAAGGATTTTTAATGGGAGGATACTATAAGCCACTGCAGTGGGAGCTGACAGACTTGTGCTCTTCTCTTAAGATATTTATGGGAGGATGATTTGAGCTAGCCCAGAAACGAGAAAAGACTGACAGGGTGTACAGCCACCGTGACTGGTCACACCAGAGGGGTTCTTCTCCCTCGGTTACTTCCAGGATCTCAGGCCTGAGGCCGACTTTCCACAGGAACTGGATGCAGGTACCACAACTCCTCTATCAGGAGGAGAGGCTCCTGCTCCAAGCCTGCATACAACATATGACCTTCCAGGCAGGGACGCCACCGCCGGGGTCTTTGGTTCTCGTCCTGGCCTGGCTGTTTTCCCACGTGCTGCTTCTGTTCTGTGACCGCTCTAGGCGTCCTCCTACTACAGACTACTGTATGGTTATATGGAAGGATTCTATAAATCAGCACTAAGTGTGTCAGTGCAGCTCCGACTACAGTACCTGTTTGATTATATAGAAAGATTATATGGGACTAAGCATGCTAGATATAAGTACTAAGTATGGTTATATAAGCTGGATATATGGAAGCAGTCAGTTATGCTTCAGGCGCTAATTCTATAAACTAATACGTGCTCATCTATAAAGAATCATAGAAAGGAAACAGCTGAGCAATAACACTAAAAACTAAGATATTTTCCAGGCACTAAGAGTGAATGGGGTCTGGGCAGTTCCCCTCGCTCCGTGCCCATGGGGGGTGTTACCCACAACCAGCCAGTCACCTTCCCTGAGCCCTCAGGAGGCTCCCCGGATTTCGGCAGGGGCTGCACGCGGTAGGGAAGTGGCAGCGGGCCCTGGGCGTGCCGGGGCTGCAGGAAGAGCGGGAACCTTCGCCACCAGCACAGCCCTGAGCCGGGGCAGCAGGAGCCATCGTCTCTCCCGGAGGCCCCCGCCCCGCAGCCAGGACGCAGACCCGCGACCTGCCCACGCACCGGGGACCCTCCACCTGCCCAGCTCGCCTGCGAGCTCCTGGCCAGGGCCCGGCCGCCCCGCCCCGCCCAGCCCCCAGCAGGTCCCGGCGGACGCGGCCGAGAACTTCGGGGCTGCGCGTGGGGCCAGGAGCCCGGGAGCCCAGGCCGGACGCTCGGGGCGGGCGACAGGGGCAGGGCCCGGTGCGCAATCCCCAGCAAGCCTCGCCCTGCCCCACCCGCCCTGCCTCGCGCGGTCCCGGCAGGAAGGAGGGCTGCGTGGGGGTTCTCAAGGGAGGGCAGGGGTCGTGGGGCGCGGAGGTGACACTGGCGGACGTCCCGGCCCGCCCGGAACTCACAGTATACGAAGGCTAGGGCCTTCAGGAGCACGATCCGGGTCAGCCAGAAGGTGCCCGCGTGGAGGTGAGCCGGAGAGCCTGCGGTGTCACGACCCGGCGCGGGCGGCGACTCAGGCTCCGGGTCCGAGCGCCCGGTTTTCCGTTTCCTCAGCGACTCCTCGGGCGCCGCCATTGCTGGGCCGTCAGAGCGCATGCGCAGGAAGGGCGCACTCCCAGAGGCCCCGCCCACGACCGGAGGCCCCGCCTCTCCCTGTTCGGCCCTGCCCACCCCAGAGGACCCACCCACCCACCCGGGAGGCCCCGCCCACAAACCCAGAGGCCCCGCCCTCTCCAGCCGGCCCCGCCCCCGCAGAAAGCTGGTGCCCGGAGCCTTCGTCCCTCGCAGTCCCCGCTGGGCACTGCTGCGTGCGGTTAGGGCGCGGGGCTGGGTACCTGGGAGGTGGTGCGGATCGCCCGACCCGAGCTCACTGAGGCAGGCATGCACGCGTGCTTTCTGTCAGTCCGCGTTGCAGAGGCCCACGTGCCCTCCCCCAGCCAGGCGCCTTCTTCCCCTCCCAACCCTCTCCTGAGGAAGGTGGACTGTGGACACCCTTGCGGTGCTGCCACTGCGTGCCCCTGCCTCACAGCTGACCCTCCTTCCCACTCTCTACGGAGGGTGCTGGCGCGACCTTCGCAGCTAGCGAGACAGTAGGCAGGGCTGGGCCTGGAATGTAAAGGAACCCTAACCCCTTCCTCCCAGCCACAGAACCCTTCCGCCTTTGCACAGCCCAGCTCCTGCCAGCACTGAGGACTGGACTTCAAGCTGTGGCAGAAGAGGGGGGCTCAGGACTTCGGAGGGAAAGAGTGACCGCTCAATGCCCCAAACAGAACCCGAAGGAGGATGCCAGCAACTCTACACTCTGATGACTGAATGGGAGTTCCAGGGGCTGCTCAGAAGTGGACGAGGCTGGAGTCACAGGGATTCCTTAGAGGAAAGAGAACAACTGAGGCTGAAGTAGGCGCTGGAGACCTAGGGGTTATTGGATGGAAATCAGGAAGGGCTGATTTCTCCCTGTTTGTCAGAGCTCTTTACATATGAAAAGTCCTGTTCTTCTGTGTGTGTTGGAAATGTTGTCCTGGTTTTTTGTTTTGTTTTAACGTGTTCTTGTCTTTAGCCTCTCTAGTGTTCCTAGTGTTTTGGCCTATAAATTATCACCACTGGTATGGCCAAATGACCCATCTTTATTGCTTGTTCAATTACCTGTTTATATCTTCACCACCTGTAGAGTGAGCCTCGGGTGGGCAGAGACCGACTGTGGACATCGGGCCCCCAAATGCAGGCCTGACCGGCCATGGCCAGAGCCTCCCCATGTCACTGGGGTATAGCATATGTGTACAGCTTACGGTTTGATTTCAGTTTTCGTTTCCTTTCCATGAAAACGCCCCCTTAGGAGTCCAGCCGTGAAGTGGGACCCGTAAAAGGCGTTGCCATGGGTGTGAGCACCCCAACATCCTCTCATGCTGGCCAAGCCTCTGGGCACGGTGTGTGCCTGAGGGCTGGGAGCCTCGGGGATCGCAGGAGCCATTGGCCCTGGCTGGCACCTGGCACCCAGGTCCCTCCACAGAGCCCACAACCAGCACCTCTCCTCGTGGCCTGGGCCGCCAGCTTTGGAAGGGCCAGCACAGCCCCCACTGCTCCCCTCCTGAGTGGGGAACGGGACACCCCCGAACCCTTGGGTCATGCCTGCAGGGCGGGCCCTGTCTGGATGCCAGGCCTGCCGGGGGATGGACGGTGAGAGGGAGAGCCCTGCGTCAGGTGTGGCCCCGAGTCGTCCTCAGGTGGGGCAGCCCTCACAAGGAGCCTTTGTGCGCAGCTTCCCCTGCCGGGCAGAGCCGCTCTTCCCGCGAAGGGCACAATGGGGCATTGTGCAGAGCAGAAAAGGGCCCCTTGTTCCAGCTTCCAGCGCTCCAGGCTCCAGCTCTTCGTCTGCTCAGGGTGGGAGCAGCCAGCGGAAGGGTCTGCTGGGAGCTCCTGTTCTCTCTGAGCTCAAGTTTCCCTGGGAGCTTGCCCTCCTGGGACGCTGACCACAAGGGGTCCCATCCACGGCTTAGAATGGGTCCAGAGCAGGTCACCAGGGCAGGGCTCGGGCCGAGGAGAGGTGGACCAGCAGCTCTGTTTGTGCCCATTTCAGCCTGAATTTCATCAAAAGTGCACTGGGTTAGGATTTGGCCATAAGAAGGAATCCAGGAGCCAGGTGCGGTGGCTCATGCCTGTCAACCCAGCACTTTGGGAGGCTGAGGCGGGTGGATCACCTGAGGTCAGGGGTTCAAGACCAGCCTGGCCAACATGGTGAAACCCTGTCCCTACTAAAAATACAAAAACATTAGGTGGGTGTGGTGGCACACTCCTGTAATCCCAGCCACTCGGGAGGCTGTGGCAGGAGAATCGCTTGAACCGGGGAGGCGGAGGTCCCAACGTGAGCTGAGATCGCGCCACTTCGCTCCAGCCTGGGCCACAGAGTGAGACTCCGTCTCGAAAAAATAAAATACAAAGGAATCCAGTTCAGACACATGTTACAACATGGACGAGCCTCAGAACATCAGGCTCAGTGAGACAGGACGGACGCCAAGGTCACGGGTCGTATGAGCCCATTTACCTGAAATGTCTAGAGCGGGCAAAGCCACGGGAAAGGAGGCAGGATCTGTGGTCCACGGCTGGGTGGGGCTGTGGGGATCGAACGTTTCACAGGTAGGACGTTTCCTTTTGGGCTGGTGAGAATGTTGTGGAACTAGGAGGTGATGGCCCAGCACGGCGAGGTGCCAAACGTCACTGAGGGGTTCTCTGGAACATGGAGAATTTCATGCTATGCGAACTTCACCTCAAATTTTAGAAAAGTAAAATGAAAACAAAAGGACAGCAGACAGCCCGCCCTGGTGCTTCAGGACCGCCGGAATACGCCGTGCCATTCACCCGCACTTCTTCGTCTATATTAAGGACCATCTAGCAGTTTAAAAATGACGTTTAGAAACAGATGTGTCTCATTCCCTAAGAAGGCACTTCACTTAAAAACGGAGGTTTCTCTGCAAACCCAGACAGAGCTGCAGCGCCCGGGAGAGGGGCCGGGTGGGGTCCCCGAGATGTCTTCCTTTCACCCTGCAGCTCACCCCACTGCGGCCACGGGCATGTGGGCTCTGGCCTGAGCGCCTCTCACCAACACGAGGCAGGAGGAGGAGGAGGGCATCCTGAGCGTGCCCCGTCAAGCAAAAACTCTTAAGAGAAAAAGCCGGGCCGACGAGGGAGAGGCCTGAGGGAGTGGAGATGAGGCTCCGCCACCCCAGGGCTGCCCGGTGCTGGGGCAGAAGAGGCTGAGATGTGGAGGAGAGTAGAGAGGGAGGGAGGGGCTCCCCAGGGCTCCCCAAGAGCGCACAGGCTGAAGATGGGGCTGCCTCCCTGGAGACCCACTAACAAGGCTACCCTAGGTGGGACCCTGTCCCCGCCGTCCCAGCCTGCGCCAGCACAACCCCCGGGATCCAGGCACACACAAGCCCGCAGCTGGCCGCGCTCCCAGCAGCTGCGGACCAGCTTCACGGAGGAATGAGCCCGTCGGCACCTCGTCCAGCTGTCCCCCAGCACCCCGGCCTGGCAGCTCCCGCTGCCTTGGGGCCATTGTCCGTGGCGTGTGGTTGCAGCTGTCTCTGGCACCCACAGGAACCCAGCATGGGTCCAAGGCTAATCGTGCACCCTTCATTTACCCCCATTTTTCATGTCCTGAGTTCTGTGAATGGAAGGAGGCCCAGGACCCATCGATGCCAACATCTGTCATCTCCTTCTAGGAGGTCAGTGTGGGCAGATCCTATCCTGACTGTCAGTGGCCACCCCCCCCCCCACCACCATGTGAGGCTGGCAGGTGCGGGTGGGGGCTGAGCGAGTAGGTGTCATGCCATTTGCTGGCTGTCCTGGGACCATGACTCACAGACGGCTGTTCTGCTTGGCTCGCCCTGTCCTCTCCCTCCACCCTCAGCTCCAGGCCATGACTGCCCCCACCCCTACCCCCCAGAAGGAGACGTGGCTCTTCGTGACCCTGCAAGCCGGCAAGCCGTGGTTTCTAGGCAGAGCAGAAGCGAAATGCCCCACGCGGTCACGTTGTCAGGTTGTAGAGCCCCACGCGGTCACGTTGTCAGGTTGTAGGGCCCCACGCGAGAAAACTAATGTGTGATATTTTTCTCTAGGAACCATATTCTGCACTGGAAAAAACCCTGGAAACTGCCTGGCCCAGAGGTCACAAACCAGAGGCCCGCCGGCTGAACCCTGCCCACAGCACAGTGTCACTGTAGCAGTCACCATGGTCACAGTAACGCTGCGGAACAAACAGCCTCAGAGCCCAGCGCCGTGTGTCGCCAGGTGGTGCTGCCCAAGCCCAGGCCCCGAGAAAGCCAGGGCAAAAGCAGAGCTGGACCCACCCCTCTGCCCCTTCCTCTGAGCCTCGGAAGCAAGGCTTTGCTGAAGGCTCTCGTTTGAAACCCAGGCTGCGGAGGAACCACTCCCTGCTCCCACCTTGCCCCTTGTACCCACCTGAGGGCATCTTAATTAAACCTTCCTTCCCTACATTCAGAAAAATAAATACTTTGGAAATAGCAAGAGACATTTTTTACAGGGTGTCTTTTAATTTGCATTTGGCACTAATGGGACTCCGGAACATTCCATCCTGGCAGGGGAGGTGAGGGTCTGAGCGGCCAGAGCCCATCTGGAGAAATGGGTTTTTCTTCGTGGCATGCTTATGTGAAGCCACCATTTTCCCACCTGGTTATCCTTGAAACGGGGCTCCGCGTTGGGAGGTTTCAAATGCGGACGTTCTGGGCAAGGAGCCTCGAGGAACCTGAAGGCTGAGCTTGGATGGACAGGCACAGGTCTTGCAGCCGAAGTAGGCACAGAGGCTAATTTTCTTGAGTCAGTCCTCTCCTGCGGGTGGGCTGAGACAGCCCCCCAGGCCTCGTCCCTTCTCACTGGGGCTCAGCCCCCAGTGCCTGGGCCGGGGATGGGCTGGGGGCTGGGGGGCAGGGGAGCCAGGGCCTGGCATCACACAGTTCAGGTGTCTGGTGTCAGACGGCACCCTCCCACGCAGGGCACAGAAACCCACCTCAAGCCTGTGGGATTTACCGCCACCAATGTAAGCGTCCAGGGAAGGCGTCGTCTGACTTCAGGTCTCCAGCCCCACCCCAGGCTCAGTGTCCCTTGGTGCTTACCTCTCCTTGGCTGCTTGGAGCCCCAGGGCCCCTGCCTGGGATGTTTTGTTGCTGCAGAAGGACCCCTGCCCACTGTCAGAGAGCAACCCCCCCACTGAGAGTGGAGACAGACAGGGCCCAGCCGGAAGCTTGGGGACCCGCTCCCAGCCTGGAGTAATGGACGCTGAGCAGCGGGAGCCACAGCTGTTCCCGACACATCCGTTCCCTGGTGTGCAGCTGTGGCTGGGAGCAGGCAGCGCTGGCCCCCACCCTTCAGTTTGAGCATTGCCTGCTCCCCGAATCCCTTCCACATGACAGCAGCCGGGACGGGGGTCCCCAGCAGTCAGGGGAGGTTCACGGCTCAGGAGGCTCCCGGTGCATCAGGGGAGTGGGCGGTGGAGACGGGGAGGGCTGGGCTGGAGACGTTCGCCCTCCGTGGAGGCCCGGGCATCAGGAGCAGCAGGAGGACGTCTGGGCCAAGAAAGGCTCACTGAGTGCTTTTCCACTGCCCTGTGTGCATGGGAAGCTTAAGGCACAGACAAGGCCAGTTCTCAGGCAGGCGCCACCCCAACCAGCGGGCCAGCCTCAACCCAAACCAGAACTGTGCCCCGCTGGCACTGTCAGCACCCGAGACAGCTAAGTGCAGGGGCCAAAACGCTACCCAGGGCTCCAAGTGTGCGTGGCCAGGAAGCCGACTTGGGAAGGGGATCTTGAGAGGGGCCCTGCGAACCCCTCGTCTGCCCTGGAGACCCGTGGGTGGGTGGGGCCTTTCCCAGCTTCTGCTCACAGCCTGTTGGGCCCAGCCTGTAGTCTGTCTGTCTCTGCCAGACCAGCAGTCATTAAAATCACCAATTAATGTCCCAGTTCATGCCGGGATGCTGCCAACTGCCCCACGGGTGCTCGGGATGCAGGGGCTGGGAGGCCCAAGCCAGGGCTGTGCACACATGGGATGCCAGCGGGTTCACGCCCGGCCCTGCCTGCACTTCTTACAGACTGCACAAAAGACAGCCTGCTGCAGGAGGAGGGCTGGTGGGGGGCAGACAGTGGGGGACAGGGGAGGACAAGCAGGGAGGGACAGAGGGGGACAGGGATGGGCAGGGAGGGACGGAGGGGGACAGGGATGGGTAGGGAGGGATGGAGGGGGACAGGGATGGGTAGGGAGGGATGGAGGGGGACAGGGATGGGTAGGGAGGGATGGAGGGGGACAGGGATGGACAGGGATGGGTAGGGAGGGATGGAAGGGGACAGGGATGGGCAGGGAGGGACGGAGGGGGACAGGGATGGGCAGGGAGGGACGGAGGGCGACAGGAATGGGTAGGGAGGGACAGAGGGGGACAGGGATGGGCAGGGAGGGATGGAGGGGGACAGGGATGGGTAGGGAGGGATGGAGGGGGACAGGAATGGGCAGGGAGGGATGGAGGGGGACAGGAATGGGTAGGGAGGGATGGAGGGGGAGGGGAAGGATGGGCAGTGAGGGACAGAGGCCTCTCCAGGGTGGCATTTCCCTGGGCAGCCCTGCTTTCTTCTTGGGCCCTGGGCCCAACACACAGCACACACACACACACACACACACCCCCATACACACCACATATATACAACATACACCACACATATACACTGTATAGACATCATACACCCACACCCCACACCCTACACACACACCCAGCACACACATCATACGTCATACACATGCACACCACACACACACCTCATGCACTCCGTAAACACATCATACGCACGCACACCACACCCATGCCGCGCACAACCTGGGGCCCTCCACACACCACACACACACCACATACAGATGCATACAATACACACACCTCATACGTGCACCCATACACATACCACACAAACACACACGCATCTGTTCACCATCCCCAGGAGCCACAGGTAGGGCAGAGGGTCTCTGGTCTGGAAGTGCCCCCCCCAGGCCATCCCTGCCCCATCTCATGGGCAGTGCCGCCTTCCCCTCACACTCTTTTCTGCAGCTGTCCTTGGCGCCCAGGCCAGGGCGTGTGGGGCTAGGAATGGGGTCTCCACCAGCCCTCCACGCCCAGGGCTCATGGCCAGGGAACAGCCCTGGTCCAGGTTCCCCATCAGGTCCTCCCGCTGAAACCACACGGCCCATTAGCCAGGGTGAGGTCGGGGCGGGTGGGGTCATGCAGACAGGGTGGAGCCGGCCCCAGCTGAGGGGAAACAGGGGATGAAGGGTGCAGGTCCCCCTACATGAGGACGTGGGCCCATCAGGTGGACTCAGAGGTGGCTCCCATGGTTACCCCTCCACTCTCAGCCCCCAGGTCCCCTGATTTGGCTTCCCCAGGGAACATGCTAGCTTCTCCCTGCAGGAGGTGGGAAGCTTCAGGGCTCAGCTTAAATGACACCCAAGATGCTTTTCCGGACCACACTTCCTGAAGTCCCTGCCTCTGACAGGCACTTTTGGAGTTACCTGCTGCCTGCCTGCCTCCACAGGGCCGGCGTCTGCGGGGCAGAGGCTGCAAGGGTGGTCTGGCCCCCTCCTGTGTGTGAGAGCGCATGGCACACTGCAAGTGCTTATTCAACACCTGGCAGCACTCAATGCACCACGACACCTACCTCTCTGAAAGCTCCGTCCCCGCGTCCACTCAGGGCCTAGTGGCTCCCACCCACAGGGGACAAGGGCATTTTCCTGGGGACTTCAGGGTGGAGCAGAGACAACTCTGGAAGGAGGGCTTCAGGACACCACCCTGCATGGGGACCCTCACCCCCATTCCGCCCTCCCAGGAGGGAACCAACATGTCCTCAGCTGGCGTAGGGCCCCCTGCCACCCAGAGACTCCCCACCTCCCCACCCCCCATCGGCAGCCTGTACGCCCAGCAGTACCTCCCCTGGTGGCCACCACAGCCTGAGGGAAAGGCGCAGGCACTGGTGGGCCCCGGGACAGGGCCACGGATGCACAGACCACTGTGCCCCAGGTCAGTCCCTGGGTGCCCCACACAGTCTCCCTTCCTCTGGGGGCCCTGGAGTCCCCCCATCTGTGTCCCAGGGATTGAAGCCTCCGTGGTGGGTGGGGAGCTGGGAAGAGGCCGCCCTGCCTGCCTCTTTCTTTTCCTTGGTAAAGAGGAGCTCTCCATAGAGGCCCTCACCTGCACGGCGTGCGGAGCCCAAGTGGGCGGTGTCTGCTCTCCCAGGGGCAGGTAGCACAGTGTGGGCCAGGCCCCAACCTCACTGCCCGCACTTCTGCCTGCCTGTGTCCCAGGCCTAACAGACGAGTCCGTGAGTGCCCAGGCTCTGTCTCCACCGGCAGGACCCAGAAGTCCTCCTTCCTGCACCAGGGATGCTCTGAGGGCCATGGGAGGTGCGGGACCCCGAGTGGAGGGCAGGGCCTCCGGGGAGAAGGGGCACTGCAGATGGAGGTGTGGGTCTTCCCTGGCAGGTGCCAGGGCCAAGCAGCCGGTGGGTGGGGGGGAGAGGGCAGGCCGTACTGGCAGCCAGCTCCCCAACTGCGACGCATGGAGCCTCCCAGCGCGCAGTCTGCCTCCCCAGCGCTTCCTCTGACCTGGCCAGGGGTCTGCCCACTTCCAGAGATGAGGCCCTCCCCTCCCGGCAGGTGACAAGGCCCTCGCTCTTCAGCCCTGAGGCCAACGCTTCCTCCAAAGGCCCTGGGCCCTCAGCTCCCCGTGCTGGGGCTGGCTCGGGTTGTTTCCAAGACAGGACAGCAGGGGCCCCAGGGCCCCAGGGCCCAGGCCTCCTCCACCTGCAGACGGGGGCGGGCGGCCGCTGGGGGCACCAACTCTCCACAGTTGGGGCCAACTCTTGCCAAGCCAGAGTCAGGGTAGGAGGCGCCTCCTGCGAGGTTGGTGGAAGCCCCAGGTTCGAGCGGCGCGCGGGCGGGACGCGGCACCATGACCCCCGAGTTTCCATCTGCACTGTTCTGGTAGGGGACCAGCTCCTGCGGGCAGGACCGGGGACACGGCGTGGCTCGGGGGCTGCGGCGGCCACCAGCCCTGGCGTGGACGCTTTAGGGGCACCAGCGCGTTGGATCACTCGGGTTTCGCGGGCCGCAAGCTCGGAGACGCGCGTGTCCCGCGTGGTCCGCTTCATCAGGAATTGCGTAGCCCCGTCGCCTCCCGCGCGTTGGTTGAAAGAATCCGAGCCAGCCTCGGGGAGCCAACCTCGGGGACGGCCGGGCCCGAGGCCACCTCTCGAGGGCAGCCTTGGGCAGGGACCCGAGCAGCGGCCGGGCGCTCGCCTAGGCGAAAAGTAGCCTCTCCGACCCCGCGGTCTCCACCAGGGCGGCACACCCCGCCCTCTCCCCTCCTCCGCAGGCGCCCGGGGCGCAGAGGCTGGGAGCGGCCTCCGCCTCTGCCGGACCACCCAGGGCCGCCCCGCCGGAGGGCCTCCCCGCCCCCGAGCCCTGGGTCACGCCCGGAAGGCCCGGGGCCCCCGCGTCCGGCCACGCCATCCGCCCGGCGGCCCCAGGGACTCAGCGCCGGGGTCAGCGCAGGCCCCGCCCAGCGCTCCCGCCCCTCCAGCTGCCTGGCCCCTGGGGCCGCGCCCCCGCCGGCGTTCTCCGGGTTCGCACCCGGATGGGGAGGGAGACCCCGGGCTCCTCCAGCTCCAAGCCGCCGCCCCTGGGCGCGCGTTACCTGGATGTGCGCTGCCCGCAGACTCTGCACGAGCTGGGGGTGGGGGGGCTCCTGCCCTCGCGCCGACCCTACGAGCCGGGAGCCCCGGCTTAGGCGCCGCGCGGCGGAACCGACCCTGCCCTGGACCGCAGGCAGCAGCTGACCCCAAGCCGCTGTGCCTGTGTGTGTGTGTGTGTGTGTGTGTCTGTGTGTGTGTGCGCGCGCGCGCCCGTGTGTGTCGGGGAAGGTCCGGAGAACTAGGTCGGGACAGGGAGCGGACTCCCAGGAGCCGCGCGGCGCCCGCACTAGAGAGGGAGCGCCGGAGACCCCCCTGCACCCACCCGGCCTCCCTGCCCCTCTTCCCTTCCCGGGGCTCCGGAAAGGGGAGCTCCAGGCGTGGGGCGCCCGGCCCACGTGGTGCGGCGCCGGGCGGGGCGGGCGGAGGCGCGGTGAGAGCGGCGGCGCGTTCTTTATGGGTGGGGGGGCGGGGGCGGGGGCGGCCGGGCTCCGCCTCTGGGGGGGAGAGGGGCGCGCTCCACCAATGGGCAGCCGGGCGGGGGGCGGGGCCGCGGGGCCGCCGCTTAAAGAAACTTGTTGCCGGTCCACGAGCGGGAACCGAGCCTCGGCGGCGAGGGACGAGGGTCGGGCCACCGCGAGGCGACGTCGGGTCCCGGAGCGGCCGCAGGGCAGCCCCGGGCGCCGGCCCCGGTGCGCGTCTCCCGTGCGCGCCCCTCCGCGCGCGGCCCCGATGCTGGACATGAGCGAGGCCCGCGCCCAGCCGCCCTGCAGCCCGTCCGGCACTGCCAGCTCCATGTCGCACGTGGAGGACTCGGACTCGGACGCGCCGCCGTCGCCCACCGGCTCCGAGGGCCTGGGCCCCGCAGGGGGCGCAGCGGGGGGCGCCCGGGGCGACACGGCGGAGGCGGTGGACGAGCGCTTCCCGGCCTGCATCCGCGACGCCGTGTCGCAGGTGCTCAAGGGCTACGACTGGAGCTTGGTGCCCATGCCAGTGCGCGGCGGCGGCGGCGGCGCGCTCAAGGCCAAGCCGCACGTGAAGCGGCCCATGAACGCCTTCATGGTGTGGGCGCAGGCGGCACGCCGCAAGCTGGCAGACCAGTACCCGCACCTGCACAACGCGGAGCTCAGCAAGACGCTGGGCAAACTGTGGCGGTGAGTGCCCTCGCCCCGGGATCGGGAGTCGGGACCCAGGCCTCCCGTGGTCTGGGACTTCGAGCGGGGCCTGGAGGGCTCAGGGCTAGCGGGGGGTGGCGGCCGCACGCAGGCTCCGGGCTCTGCACCCGGGGCGGGTGCCAGGGCGGCTCTCCGTGGAAAAACACCCTCTAGCCAGCCAGGGTTCGGCGCCAGGAATGGGGGTCCAGGTCCGTGGAGGGCAGCGCCTGGGGTCCGCACCCTCGTGGTGGGTGGACTCTCGAGCCAGTTCTCCTGGCGGGGAACACCCTGTGGAGGGCCATGGCTGGTACCCCGAGGTGCCCCCCGGCCGCTGCGAGTGGTCCCAGCCCCGGGAGGCCCGCCGGGCACGGAGCAAGCTGCATGCGGCTCTCTGGAGGCGCCCCGTCCTTAGAAAGGGCTCAGCTCCTCCGGCTTCTGGACCACGCTTGGGGAGGGAGTGGGGCAGGCGAATGGGTGGGCGGCAGGGCCCTGCAGCTTCTCCCTCTCCTGGACACCCTGTGCCCTAAACAAGGAGGGCAGGAGTGGAGACGGCAGGCGCGCTCTGTGCACGCCTCGGAGCGGTGGAGCTGGTGCGTTTTCCGGAAAGTAGGACTGCAGAGGGGAGAAGCTGTTGCTCAGGACAGGCCGCCCCGACCAAATGTCGTCCACTTGGGTTTAAATGGATGTCTTGGTTTGGGGCCCTGGTTCCCGTATCCTGCTCCTCACCTGGCAAACGGGAGCTTGGGGCTTGCATATCTGCGCCCTCCACCTCTGTCTGGATCTAGGGCGCAGCCACGGGGCTCTGTGGACCGCACAGCCCCTGCTCCCCCAAGTCCCGCCGCGCAGGCGGTTGGTGGAGAGCCTCAGGAAGAGTCCCAGGGGATGTGTGTCCTGAGGCTCAGGGAGGATGGGCGCCTGGGCCCTGCCAGCACTTCTGGATGTGTAGGAATGGAGGGACAGCATGCCCAGCTGCCCGCTGGAGGCCGGCACCGTTCCCGGGAAGCCTCGCTTTTGTCCACCGCCTGCTGCGTCCTGCCCGCCTCCCCCGCCTCCCTTAGAAAGCCCCAGAGGGAGGGAACAACGGGCCGGAATTGGGGGAAGTAGGAGGAGGAAGGCCGGGAGGTTTGGGGCTCGTTCTTGGCCGTGATAAGCATACCACCCTCCCCGAGACAGGCTCCGGGGGCTCCCGAAGTCCGGTTCTCCCAGAGGGGCGTGGTGCCTGGTGCCGGCGGGGGGGGGGGGGTCCTCCGGAGCCTGCGGCGGGCGGGTTTCCCTGGTCAGAGCGCCGCGGCCCCCCCGCTCTGCTGCCGGCTCCCTGCGCCGTGTGCGCTCCCGCCGGCCGCCCCGAGGGCACCATGGGCGCCCTGGCCATCCCCGCCTCTGCCCTGTGCTGCAGTTTGCTGAGCGAAAGCGAGAAGCGGCCCTTCGTGGAGGAGGCCGAGCGGCTGCGCGTGCAGCACAAGAAGGACCACCCGGACTACAAGTACCAGCCGCGGCGCAGGAAGAGCGCCAAGGCCGGCCAGAGCGACTCAGACTCGGGGGCCGAGCTGGGACCCCACCCGGGCAGTGGTTCCGTGTACAAGGCTGACGCGGGGCTGGGAGACGCGCACCACCACGGCGACCACACAGGTGGGCTCCAGGCCCTCAGCGTGTCCGAGGGTCCCTGGTGCGGGAGGCAGCCATGGGGTTTCTGGGTGACGATGGGGTGATTGACGGTGTAGGGGCAGGCGCCTTCGAGAGAACCGGGCCTTCCCCGGGTCCCCTGAAAAAGCACCCAAGGCCCCGGCCTCCTCTGTTTTTGGCGCGGAGTGACCTGCTTAGCATCCTCCAGTGCTGAGGGCCTGACAGCTTTGCTTGGCCGGGGCCGGAGAGGTGGCGTTTTCAGCCAGACTCAGCTGAATGCAGGCTCCTCTTCCCACACCCAGCCGCTGCCCACAGGACGCTCAGCAGCCCCAGCTTCAGGGCCTGGCTGACAGGGTGGAGTCCTGCTGGGGGCCTCGGTCAGGCTGGCTGGCGCCCACCAGCCTCGGAGTGCTTAGATGACCCGGGAAGGAACAGGGTCTGTGTGGTTCCCGATCGCCCCGTAAATGCCAGCTCTGGCCAGGCTGGCCCTTTTGCCTCTGCCCCCCCACCAACCACCTTGGTCTCTGGGAGGGGCCTCGGGTCTTCCCAAAGCACAGCACTTCACAGAATTTCTCGGCCGCGGAGTGAAGTCTGGGTCTGACTTTGCTGGAATTTCTGGGAATGTAGAGAAACAAACAGCCGTTGATCCCCCTCTGGCAGTTCGAGCTGGCGTTCCTCCCCTCCCAGACTCGCCGGCCCCACCCGCCCCACAGAAGGGGCATTCATCCCTGACGCCCGCTCTCCCGTCCCCAGGGCAGACCCACGGGCCGCCCACCCCACCCACCACCCCCAAGACGGAGCTGCACCAGGCGGGTGCCAAGCCGGAGCTGAAGCTGGAGGGGCGCCGGGCGGCGGACGGCGGACGCCAGAACATCGATTTCAGCAACGTGGACATCTCGGAGCTCAGCAGCGAGGTCATGGGCACCATGGACACTTTTGACGTCCACGAATTCGACCAGTACCTGCCCCTGGGCGGCCCTGCCCCGCCTGAGCCCGGCCAGGCCTATGGGGGCACCTACTTCCACGCTGGGGCATCCCCCGTGTGGGCCCACAAGGGCGCCCCGTCGACCTCCACATCGCCCACCGAGACGGGCCCCCCTCGGCCGCACATTAAGACAGAGCAGCCGAGCCCTGGCCACTACGGCGACCAGCCCCGAGGCTCGCTCCGACTATGGCTCCTGCAGCGGCCAGGCCAGCGTCCCCCCCTGCCGCCCCCACCGGCCCCTTCACCGGTGCCCAGGGCGACTACAGTGACCTGCAGGCCTCCAAGCTACTACGGCGCCTACCCTGGCTACGCGCCTGGCCTCTACCAGTACCCCTGCTTCCACTCGCCACGCCGGCCCTACGCCTCGCCCCTGCTCAACGGCCTGGCCCTGCCGCCCGCCCACAGCCCCACCAGTCACTGGGACCAGCCGCTGTACACCACCCTGACCAGGCCCTGAGGGTCCCTCCGCGGGTGGGGGGGGGACTTGCAGGCGTTGGGGGGGGGCAGCCTTGTCACGGCCTGGACAGCCCAGCCTCCGAGGCCTCCCGGCGTGCATGGCAAGGTCAGGAGGGGCCCCAGTGGCCAAGCTCGTCAAGTGCCTGCTGACGTCTGCAGGGAAACCTGCTTGCCGCCCGCCCGTGGTCCTCAGCCTCCAGATGGCCACGCCTCCGACGAAGGCGCACTCCCTCTCCCTTCTCTCTCTCTCTTTGAGGTGGCCGGGGATTATTCCACAAGGAAGGGCCACCGTTTGGTCCCTTTTCTATGAGGACTGGAGGCACTGGCACTTGGGTTTGTGTCTCGGTGGAGGAGTAACGGCAGAATGGCCCCAGGACCAAAGGAGGGGGCACTGGGGGGCCTGGCTGTGTTCTGGGGGCCAGGCCAGCCTCGGCGCTGAGATCCCCGGCACGCACAGCCACAT